CCTCCGGCTCGTCGCCGAGGGTTTCCGCCAACTTATATCTTCCGCTATCGAGCATTTCCTTGAGCTGGATGCGCTCCAGGCTCAGGGGATCCGACCCGGTCCGGTTCCTGGTTGGTCCTTGGGTGGGGTCCACGGATTTGAAAAATTCCAGGATGAAGTCTCGGGTTCTCTCCGCCTGGATTCGGGCCCGGTCTGCTTGGAATCTTTGCTCCACCGCGTCGCGCCACAGCACTGTGGTGGTGACCGAGAATCCGAGCAATAGAGTGGCGACGAGCAGCGCCGCCTTATGACGTCGAAATCTCTTTCTCGCGCGCACGGACCAGGTGCCCGGCCAAGCCCGGATCGGCAGGTCCTCAAGGTGGAGCTGGATGTCGTCCGCCAACTGGGCCGCGGATCCGTAGCGCTGCTCGGGGTCTTTGCGCAGCGCTTTTAGGGTCAACGCGTCGAGATCTCCCCTCAGACGAGCGGCGATCGACGGATCTGCTCGAACGCTGGGGGCAGGCGGATCGAGCTCGCAGATCCTACGCGTCAGCTCGGTCTTGGTGATGCCGTGATGGTGATAAGGGTGGTAATCGCTCAGGATCTTGTAGAGCAACACTCCAAGCGAGTAAATGTCGGTGCCGATGGTGACTCTCTCGCCGTTCAGCTGCTCCGGGCTGGCATAAGCGATGGTCAGCGGCCCATGGCTCGAAGGCGGCCTCGGCGCGTTCGAGCTGTGGCTCAAGACTTCGGCGATTCCGAAATCCAGCAGCTTGGGCCGCCCATCGGCTGTCACCAGAATGTTGCTGGGTTTGAGGTCCCGGTGCACGATCAGGTTCCGATGGGCGTAGTGCACCGCGGCGCAAACCTCTTGGAACAGCTTCAATCGCTTCTCCAGGCTCAGCGCGGCACATGCTTCGTCCAACGGGATGCCTTCCACGTATTCCATGGCAAAGAAGGGCAGGGTGTCGGGACCGGCGCCACCGTCGAAGATGCGTGCAATGTGTGGGTGCTCGAGCTGCCCCAAGATTTGGCGCTCGTGGTAGAAGCGTTTCAAAAAACCGCCGTCGGCCCGATCCG